TTATGCCTGGTGTCCCCACAGACATTTTCTTCATCTCCGTTTCAGATAGTCATCCTCACTCCTTGTCTGAACATTGTTGCTAATTACTTTGAAATGTATGGATGTTAACGGTATTTGGTTGTTTCTGGAGTATGTAGCCGGCTGGTGATTTATTCCATTTCCTTAATGGGTAACACACTTGGATGGCTTGTCAAAGCCCCGTTGAGCTGAATGACAGGTTGTCTGGGGAAACAGACTCTCTTCTATGATCTAATAGGCCAGGAGATACTGAAGAGTCCTGCTGCCTGATTGGACAGCCCTTGTCAATGATGCCGGAAGTTAAATTATGACTCGACATCTCCACCAGGGGGCAATGTTGAACACTCCTCTCAAATCCATATTTCCTTGCACTTCTGGGGTGTTGTTTTTGTCTGGTTCACACGCTCACTTTCAAGCACTCATGCCAGCTTGCTTTAGTTGGCATTGGCTCTTGAACCACAGTTGGCTTAGCCTGGTGCTTTTTGTTTTAAGCATAATTTTAAAGCTAAATAGAAGTATTACATTTGCATTTAAATTGCTTTAAACTGCATCAATAGGTTCATACCTCACATGTCAAGAATGCGTTTTTTCATATTTTTGGAGAATCGGTTTTTTTCTGTTAACAAATGGTCTATATTTATATTTATTCATTTTTTTCATTCAGTGTCACTTTATTTATCCAGTTTCCGGAAACTGCCAGTGTTAATCCCAGGGGTTCTTAATTCAGTGAATTGGACAGACTCCTCTAGCAATCATTAAGGTAGGGCCAGTGTGCTTTTATACAGTATGAAGAGCTACTGTATAAGGCCATGCAACTAATACTCATATTGACATCCCACCAGTAGGGGGCGAACTCATGTCAGGGCACCAATTGTTTTCTTTCTGCTTTTCCTTGGAGGTGAGTGAAGTGGGGGGACGGGAGAGAGATGGACTCATATGTGCTCATTTTTATAAATGGCAGACTCATGGGATATCGACTTGTGGCGATCGCTCAAATGGATTGCAGTTTTGGGTTGCACTGTCCCTAGCACACAATGTCTGTATCTCATTGGGCCGTGCAAGATGAAATTAAGGGAATTAAATCTAACCCAGAAATTCATTTTTTTTCTTCTTTAATTACTTTGTATCTCAGTAGTTTCACAATGATGCTCCAAGCTAACGGGCAGTGAAAAGACCTAAACATTCACCCTGAAGGGTGGCACAGTGCTTCAGTGGTGACAGTGCAGCCTCACACCTCTGTGTGTTGGGGTTTGGATGGGTTTCCTCTGGTTGGCGTGAAGGGGTGTCTTTGAATTGCCTGTATTGCATGATCTGTGACGGACCAGCATCCCGTCCAGGGTGTCCCCCTGCCTCGTGCCCTGTGATGGACTGGCATCCCGTCCAGCGTGTCCCCTGCCTCGTGCCCTGTGATGGACTGGCATCCCATCCAGGGTGTCCCCCTGCCTCGTGCCCTGTGATGGACTGGCATCCCATCCAGGGTGTCCCCTGCCTCGTGCCCTGTGATGGACTGGCATCCCGTCCAGGGTGTCCCTTGCCCATTATATCTTGGACCAGTCCCCAGGCTCCCAAGCACACTATACTGGATAAACATTCACAGATGAATGTCTGTCCTGGTTACTATACAGTACAATATCAGTTTCATACTTATTTGATAATAAACATTGTAGAGGACATAATGAATAGGAAACAGAATTATTGAAAAATAACTATTTCAGAAACTGAATGCGCGGTAACCATATAAATAGAGTTTCATACAGCCAACTGATTACTCAGAACTCTAGGCAGTATGGTTTCAATATAAGTGTCACAAAGCACCTTCTGGTTCCCCTTCTTCCGCACAGGCCTTTGACATCTCGGATCAGTATACAAGAGAGCCGAATTCTCAGTCATTTTGCACCTTGTCAGGAATCTGTAACGAACAAGTGCCCATGGGGGCCGGCCTTAGGCCGACAATGACGGACAGCTTGCTTGACCACTCACAGCCATGTACAAATCCTGGCTGGTCCTCCAGCCCTAAAAGGGGCGCTGGTGAGTCAACCTTGAACTCGTCATTAGGGCTGCAGCCTCAGCCAAAGGCAGACAGAGCCCTCTGTCTCTGTTAGCCCTGATGTCTGAAGCCTTTATTAGACTCTGTTAAGCTAAAGACACAAAGTCTCTCTAGGTATTTCAGAGAACACGGCCGGGGGGGAGTGACATCAGCTCCTATCCTTTCAAATGGCTGCAGCTTTTAAGTAGTGCAGCTCGAGTTCACATTCAGTAGGTACGTGGTATCAGATTTGCATTAAAAAGACGGTTTCCTTACAGTTTTTATCTTTTCTCATGCAGTTTTTTTCTCTGTCTTTTGTGGAGCACTTCATTCAGTGTGATGTGTAAGATTCACAGAAAACTTCTTTTTGGAGAATGTCCCAGACACTGTGCTTTAGCTTCAGTTCAGTTTGATTTTTATAGCACCTTTCACAAGGAAGTTACAAAAGAACCCAACATTAGTGGAACCTGATGTGCTACAGTTTAGAGAAGCAATAGTTTCAGTCGGGGTGGGGGGTTAAACACCCAAAATTAAAGCACACCAAAGCTAGGGACCCCCACTACTAATGTGTGATCACATAAGTATTAGGGATTGGGGGCCTTGCATTTTGCTCAGAATGGGGGGGTCCCTTTTAGTACTTTTATCATTTTTTCCTGATGTACTGTATAAGCAAACTAAATCCTGCTCTCCTTTCCTTTTGCAAGAAATATTACTCTGTTATACTTAGTTAGCTAACTACAAAACCTAAAAACCTTCTCAAAACCACAGAACTTTCACTGAAAAGTAAACAAACGATCAACCTCAAAAACTGAATGATAACGACTTTATTTAGAATGTTTGCAAATGCCGATGGTGAGATCTGACATACGGAACGATAAACTGTCACTCGCTTCTGCGCCCCTTGTCAGTGTTCTTGGTGCTTGCTGTCGTTTTGAGACGTCTCCCAATCACCATGCAGAGGAGTCTGGTTTCCAGGCGGGTTAAAGATACCTGACTGCTCTACCTGTCCAATCTGCATCATCGAAGCAAAAAACCATGTACGAAGCTCTCATAGACTCCCAGTGAAGCACGGTACCCAGGCAGGCTCTGAAAACACGTCATCAAAGCATATTGATCAATAAGCTTTCATCCATTTTCCATTTAGACAAAGCCTACATGAGTCTTCCTTAGAGACTTCCTTAGCATCCCCTACTAACCTGGAGCGTGTTTCCCAAAAGCAGAGCTGCTAACAACGTTAGCAAGTTACATAGTTAGAAACATGCAACTGAAAGGGTCTAACCATGTAAGTCGGTAAACAGGGCTTGAATGGCTGACTTCGGTTCTCAAACTTCATCTGTTCCAGAAAGCTGTTCGAGAACTGAATCAATTTTTCCTGTAAGAAATAATGTAAATTGGAGTAATCTGTTCCAGACCCCCAAATGATGTTTTAACCTGTATCAATACATACTGTACATACATCATGCTAAAACCATAAATAAAAACTTTATAACTCATGAATACATGAAATAAATGAAAAAAAAAAGATTTTGTCATTCCATACTCTGTAGCGAGATGAGACCCTTTATCATACATTGCAGTTATTTCCTTTTTAAGTTCTATTGTGGTTCTCACAGCTTTCCTTTTTGGTTTGCTGCTGTCACTAACCTTGCTAGAACCCACGGTGGCTTATTTAAAAACAAAATAAAAGCGAAAAAACACGAGAATATTCATAGTACAATCTGGCGGAGATGTTCACTACGCGAGCACTAGCGGTATACTGACTCACCTGCACACGTTCTCTCCTTTGTTTGTGCCTAAACGTGCCGTGTCAGACAGGTTCTAGCGCAAAAGGGCTGGTTGGTCAAGAACCAAAAATGAATTCGACAACCGAGACATTTCTTTTTACCAAATAATTTGGTAGAGAACCGAATTGTATGAGATGTGAGAAGTTCAAGAACCGAGGTTCCGCTGTATATGTTTATTTCCTGGCCAGGTGCACTTGTAGAAACCGTGTACACGTGCCTGATGGGTGAGAAAATATTTGTTCCAGGTTGTGCAGGTCCACTGGGATTGAAAGTGGACTGGTGTATATCAAGTTTGGGGGTAACAGTTTAGAAGTTTTGAATCGTTTTATCACCTCCTCTTACATATTTATATTTGAAAGAAGGAACGACAGAGTTTGAGATTCACGGTTTGTCAGTTCCATTTACTGAGCTCTCCTTATTCAACTATGCAAAGTCAGATTTTCATTCTATGGGGCCTTTAAGGTGACTCTCTCTCCCCCCCCCCCCGCCCGCACAAACACTTCGTTTTACTTGCGAACTGGACCTCTCACACCTCCTGTCTCCTCCCCCGCCCCTCCAGGTCTGACAGCGGCCGCCTCCCTCGTCTCCCTGGCCTGGGCGCTGGCCTCCTACCAGAAGGCGCTGAGAGAGTCTCGCGATGACAAGAAGCCGGTCAGCTACCTGGCGGTGGTGATCACCTTCTGCTGGCACTTCTTCACGGTGGCGGCCCGCGTGGTCACCTTCGCCCTCTTCGCCTCCGTGTTCCAGCTCTACTTCGGCGTCTTCATCGTGCTGCACTGGTGCGTCATGACCTTCTGGATCGTCCACTGCGAGACCGAGTTCTGCGTGACGAAATGGGAGGAGATCGTCTTCGACATGGTTGTTGGCGTCGTCTACATCTTCAGCTGGTTCAACGTCAAGGAGGGCCGCACGCGCTACCGGCTCTTCGTCTACTACCTGGTGGTGCTGCTGGAGAACGCCGCGCTGAGCACTCTCTGGTACCTCTACCGACTGCCCTCCACCACTGACGCCTTTGCCATTCCTGCCCTTTGTGTCATCTTCAGCAGCTTCCTCACCGGCGTGCTCTTCATGCTCATGTACTACGCCTTCTTCCACCCTAATGGCCCACGATTCGGCCGTTCGCCAAGCTCCGCCCTCGAGGACCCGGTCGGGGGCGGGGCTGCCACTTCGCCACCGCCACCTGAGGGGGCCACTAACTCCCTGAGGGCAGGGCAGATGCGGGGGGGGTCCTCAATGGACATCAAGTACACCGAGAGGGACGGCTGTACGCCGGTGTTCCAGGTGAGACCGCTGGCCACGCCCACGCCGTCCTCCCGCCCCCCAAGGATAGAGGAGAGCGTGATAAAGATAGACCTCTTCCGGAACCGCTACCCGGCCTGGGAGAGGCACGTGCTGGACAGGAGTATACGCAAGGCCATACTGGGTTTCGAATGCTCCCCGGCGCCCCCTAGGCTGCAGTACAAGGATGATGCCCTGGTGCAAGAGCGGCTGGAATATGAGACCACGCTGTAGTCGCCAGAAGGCTTTGGGAAAACAAATCAAAAGCAGATGATCAACCTGGGTTAACAGCCGGACTGTGGCAATAACTAGCTGTCCCTGAAGGGAGCTTCTCACCTGCACCGCTTGAGGTGTTGATTGTCAGACCACAATTCATTTCTGAGTTAGCAGTGTTGATGGAGCAATATCTTGGTCCTGGGAGACAGATACCAGGTCCCTTAACGGGCGGCCCCATAAATGCCTGCGCTCTAAATTAACATAAGCTAATATTTGGCATATTAAACAATTAAAAGACATTGGAATTCAACATAAAAGCTATTTTCCCAAAAGAAAATCCTCCCAGAAGTGAGTAAAAACTATTAAATATACAGGTACGATTAAAAATCAGATATTAGGATCGTATTTATACAAACAGGGGACCAAATGTAGACTTTCGTTAGGCATTTTAATGAACTTCTGATGGAAAGTGGTCCACGGCGACCATGCTTTCCAGAGCCAACTTGGATGCCGCAGGAGCAGCACCCAACCGTGCCAAAAAGTCAAGCTTTCATTGTACAGGCTCTCGGTAATCGCTTAGTGTGTCACACAGGGTAAAACCCCAGCTTAAAGCCCCCAGTCATGGTGGCGGAGAGGGCAAAGTGACGGTCAGCTTCATAGGTGGGTTGGAGATAGAGTGTCGCTAGTCCCCAAGGTGTCCCCAAACTCCCACAGCTCCCACGATCGGTGACTTGGTGGTTGACTCATAGTCAGGGGCGAAACAAAAATATGATGATATAACTTATGCATCTAAAGCACTTAACCTGTACTTTGCTGCTCTTCTTTACGCAAGACCAAGTAAGGGCTTAGAACCAGCAATGTCAGTGAAGCAGCTGAATCACGCGGCGAGCGTGGCGGGGTGGACGGGAAGACGGGGGGGGTGCCGGGCGGGATGCAGTCACCGGGTTAGGGTAGCGCACTTTTAAATCCCAGGGAGTGTCCATCTGGCGCCACCCCCCTTCCCGACCTGACAGGAGGCAGGCAGAACAGCGATCGCTGACACCCCTGCATCCTTATGCCTGTACTTTTCAGGGCAGATGGTAATTTACTCCAAGAAAAACACCCGTAGATTGTTTGGCCAAAAGTTCTTCTTCTGAAAGAATATGGATTGTAAAGCAAAGTAGGGCTATGCTTTTAATGAGAGATCGTTTATTTGAGAACGACAGGTCATTTCCTTTAGTTTCTCTCCTTGTCTAAATTGCATGCAACAAAGACCCAGACTAGAATTGTTTCCAATCATTTCCTGTCTTGAAATGGATCAGGGTCCGGACTCCATTAGTAACGGGGTGTCATTTTCTTTCAATCATTGTTATTGTCCTTTATAAATCTGGGTCAAGGCAGCATCACTCATTCCAGTGACTGACTGAACTCTGGTCTCTGTTCCGATTCTCATGTTAGAAATCAACAACTGAATTTGTGCTCTTCCATAGGCGTCCTGTGTGATATCTACCATCAGCAGGGGCTCATTCAGAAACCAAGTCCATTATGAAAAGGCAATATATTAAGAAATATAAAATCCTGAAGTGGGAAACTACCTGCACAAATTTATTTGAGCACAAATTTAAAGCATTTATTTGGAAATAGATTTATTATTTATTAATAACAATTAATAATTATTGCTACTTTCTGATTTTACACATATGTATACATTATACTGTGTGTGTGTGTGTGTGTGTGTGTGTGTATATATATATATATATATATATATATATATATACATACTAAACTTTATTTCTGTAAAATACATGTATAAAATTGTAGAAAAAAAGTGCCAATGATACATTTATTTTGTAGTACATATAGCACACTTATAGCATAGATATAGTCACTGATATTTACAGTCACTTGGATTTTATATTTTAATATATTTCTTTTTGTAAGGGACATTTATATTTTGTGTAGAAACCCATTACAAATACCAGAGCAAAATATTGTTATTTCTAATTATAAAACATATTTTAGAAGGGTACCAGTGTATGTTATGTCACTCTCTTGGTATAAAACTCCTGTCGATATTCTGGGACTTGTTTTCACGACCCTGAAACGAATGACAATATAAGCATGTTTTCATTATGTAAGCTTGTCTCAAAGATATATATAAATATATATATATATAAATGAATCATATATTGTTATGGCAGAAGGCCCTTGGTGTAAGAAGGCAAAAAATGACTTTTCAGAGAGAGTGAGAAAAGAACAGGAAAAAAACAGTTATGTTATTATTTATTATCATTTGCCTGCGAACTCATTTTTTTTACATTATTACTGGACAGGGATGTGTCACATCCAGTGAAATATCACGCCTAAGACACAGAGCTCCTGTAAGGTGATTCCCTTATACATCTGCTCACATCCCCCCAGGGGGCTTTCAAAGACCCAGTAGTAGCATATCTTGTCCGTATCGCCCATAATTCTAGGGGTGATCACATGCTGATTTATAGGGCTTGTATTGTAGGGCAAGGTTTCTCAACCCAGTCCTCGGGGACCACCAGACGGTCCATGTTTTTGCTCTCTCCCAATTGGCAGGGAATTGGGAGAGAGCAAAAACATGGAGCGTCTGGTGGTCCCCGAGGACCGGGCTGAGAAACCCTGTTGTAGGGGGTAGGAGCTTGCTGTCGTTTGACGGCTCCGGTTTTCCGATGGCTTACGATTCATGCCGAATGAGAATTAGTGTCCCGTTCATTCACTGACAGTCCACATCCCTGCCATTGACAGGATCCATTAAGATAATGAAGTTGGCAAATTCAGATACTCGTTTAGGAAGCAGGGTAATCAATATTAAATCCCCAAAGTCATTTGTATTATTGCTCTAAGAACAGACATTCTGTATAACCGCAATGTTATAAATTAATGAAATGTCATTATGGAGAATATTACTCTTTAATGAGCTCTTTTTGCGGGTCTGGCGCTATAAATAGCCATAAATGTGAACGGCACACTCAAAGCTTTTAACAACCCCAATTTCCAGATTCTGAGAAGTATCCAGGAGTTTCTCTATTGTCCACAAGAAATGCAGCCCAAAACTTCCTTGTGAAGCAAATGAGCTTAGGAGGCTATTGTGACAGGTTGAGTGAGGCAGCCCGCGGGTTAAGCTGGCCTATGGCATGCAGTTTCAGTCTGGGATCCTGTTATTTATTGGTCAGGGTGTCTTGGGGGTGGAACTAGAAAATGTCTGTACGGAGGTTTACTTAGAGCTGTGGGCAGGACCTTTGTTGGACAGTCTCCTTGGGCATGAAGGTTCAATGGAGAAGAAATCTAGCTTGACTCTTGGTGAGAGAACCACGATAAGCTGGAGTTCTGCAGTCTCATTGAACATCGTTAACAGATGACTTTCTCCTCCTTTATTAATGAATGCAGGTGTCGTTCGGCTAATACAATCATCATGGCCCTTCAGCAACGGGTGGAAAATCACTCTTCAGACCTAGAATCTGCAAAGCCTGGTTTATCTACTCGAAGGTCAGGTCCCTTCTTTGTCTCAAGGGGTAATGAGACAAATGGCCCCAGCTGCTTTTGGGGAAAATAAGTCATCCATCCATCCATCCATCCATCCCTCTTCTACCCTTCTATCCTGGTCAAGGTCACAGGGAGGCTGGAGCATATCCCAGGCAGCATAGGGTGTAGATCAATGGTATAGCTAGATATTCTAGGCCTCTTGATAAAACGTAACTGTGGGATCCCCCTTCACCACCACCTAATCAAATGAATAATTTCACTTAGTCAAGGGCCCCTGTAAAATGCTGGGCCCTCTGAATCTGCCGGGGTATCCATGCTCCTACAGCACCCGTCTATCACAGGCCTGGGAATATAACAGGCAAGTGTTAAATAATTAACACTTACATGTTGCTTAATTAGAGCAATTAAGCCCTGGCGAGATATTTTAACGATGCCATTGGCGGTGCATGGTGATGATGGTGTACCGCTCCGGGATCCTGGAGACACTTATATGACAGCAGTGCGCTACACAGGAAATGTCAATTTGGGACGCGAACCCATTGTGCTCTGGGCACGTCAGCTGGGGACAGAAACTCTCCCACCTTTCCTCACACTGACAGATAGAGAGCAGGGCCGCTGACTTTGTCTTTTCAGTTTTATGAACCCGTGTGCGGCGTTATTTTAGCCCAGGGATGGTTGCTAAGGTGGATACAGAACCCACATCCACCAGGTACCGCACTGACCCGGGTGGGGGGCTGGGGGAGGGACTGTGGCCACAAATCGTTACCCAGAATTCCCTGCTCTCCTTTCAAGCACGCCAGGGGGAGATGTTGATACTTCTAAATAGCTACTTCGAGGTGAATTAATCCAGTTATAAACATCAATAACATCACATCTGGCAGGGGGCATTTTCTCTTCATCCTGCACGAATAACACGGAGAATGTTTGAAAACATTCAACATCCCTGCAGTTATAAACAGTCCAGAGCTCGTTGCCTGGCTTCGGAGGATGAATCGACGTCAGACGTGATTCGATCTGGACCCAGTTTCTCCAGACACTGCAGTTTCTCCAATGTTGCCTCACAGCCGAATCCTACAGTAATGAAAGTCATAGGAGAACTTATGCAAAAACTCTGTTTTAATTATGTAATCCTTCGACATGCCACATATTTTAAATGATAAAATTTCCTTAACCTTGTTGAGCTCCACCTGGCTCCATTGTCTTGAATTTTGATGCTTTCCACTCTTTTTTTTTTTTTTTGATGATGATTTGCACATATTTCATTCATAGGGGACAGTGCTAGATTAATTAAAGTAATTAAACTCTATCACATCTCATCTCATCATCTCATTCTCTCTCTCTCTCTCTCTCTCTCTCTGTCATTATCTATCTATCTCTCTATATCACACTCGGCCCGGCATTAATTAAGATTATGGCTGATAGATGGACGGGGGGACGGCCGGAGAACACCCCCTGGGGACAGGGGGGCCATGTTGGATAGTGACTTGGGAGATACTCTGCTGGTCACGCCGTCTCGCATATGCTCCCGGGACGACTCAGCAGGACACATATTCACACCGTGACAAACTGCAGAGCGGTGCAAAGGAGTGTGTGTGTGTGTGTGTGTGTGTATATATATACATACTGTAGATATACATACATGCACTTCACTTTATGTATATATTCTTTTATATGTATGCAGTATATTGAATATGCTACTCAAGTATTGTATAGATGAGTAATATACTGTACGTGTGCAGTATTTATATACATACAGTATCTGTGTGTGTGTGTGTGTGTGTGTGTGTGTGTGTGTGTGTTACGTGCTGAATGGGCACAGAGTGGAGACAGAGGAGCGGGAGTCCAGGAAGTCGGGGAAGTGAAGGATTTACTGGGGAAACAAGGGTTTTACGGGGGAGACAGTCTGGCACACGGGACAAACAGGCAGTAACGTCAATGACAGGACTGGGGGAAGACGAACAGGGAGGTACTTAAAAACACCAGACTACATTGGACAAAACTAGGCACAGCCGGTGACTTGGGGATTCCACATGGGGCAGTGACATCATGAGTGTGTGTGTGTGTGTGTGTGTGTGTGTGTGTTTATGTGCCTGTGCGACATGGGGTGCCGTTATTCGGGGCTTTATTAGGACTTTATTTGGAGGTTGAAGGCTGGCAGCCATTTCGCATCAGCAGATACAGGAAAGTGAAAGTCCAAGGTCATGGGGGGGGCAGAAGAGTGAGGGTGCAAGGCTGCTCTGATTGGTCAGTTAGTGTTTAGAGTGCTGGTCAATGTTACTACTCTTGGAACACGGTGGGTGGCGCTGTCGAGTTATACCTCCCGGGCTGAAATCCTGCCCCCGGGTCTGTGTGCCTGTAGTTCATTGGGCGTGTACTCTCACACAGCCCGGAAACAGGTACTTGGTTAAATTGGGGTTTCTAAACAGCCCATTATGGGTATGTGCCCTGTGATGGGGCGGCATCCCGTCCAGGGTGTCCCCTGTCTCGTACCCCGTGATGGACTGGCATCCCATCCAGGGTGTCCCCTGTCTCGTACCCCGTGATGGACTGGCATCCCGTCCAGGGTGTCCCCCTGCCTCGTGCCCTGTGATGGACTGGCATCCCATCCAGGGTGTCCCCTGCCTCGTGCCCTGTGATGGACTGGCATCCCATCCAGGGTGTCCCCTGCCTCGTGCCCTGTGATGGACTGGCATCCCATTCAGCGTGTCCCCTGCCTCGTGCCCTGTGTTGGACTGGCATCCTGTTCACGGCGTCCCCCTGCCAGGTTCCGTCTGCTGCCTGGGACAGGCTCCCCCCACGTGCCCTAAAAGATGAGGAGCACTGGAAGATGGATGTACACTGGTTACTCGTTTCTGAAATGGCCGCCACACACATGAAGTTCACCGCCCGTCAGCTGATTCGTCTGACAGACGCTGAAATCGGGAGAATCTCGCTGCTCGATCAGCAGATTCTGGGGCTGGGATGTTCAGATACCGTTCGTCCTTGAGGACGTCTGCAGACTCAAAGTGCTGAGTCGAGTCCAGGGCTTCTCCATCTAATCGCGAGTGGGTGACATTGGTGCCACATTGTGCTGCACAGCCCCTGGGGTTAGCTAGGCCACTAAATGCTAAACGGCCACAAAAATAGAAGGAAGTCATTGGGTGCCATACAGGGAAATAAGACAGACCGCAAAGGCTTCTATAAAAAGGCTGATATGCTGTTTGCTA